CCCCCCTCTTACCCCCCCTTCCCCCTTCAACTCCCTTCTTTCACCCCTTCTCCATCCCCCACCCCCCCCCTGCTACTCTAAAATAACTTTCCCCTCCCTAATACCCACCTTGAATTCCCCATATTCCCCACCCCCCTCCCCCTCCCCCCTAACCCCCTTCCCCCCTCCTACCCTAACCCACCTTCAATCCCTCATCTCCCCCCCTCCCTGCACCACCCTAACCCCTCCTCCAACCCCCCCACCCCTCCACCCCCACTCACCCCCACACACCCCACACAGCCCCCACCCCCTCACCCTCACCCCCACCCCCCTATACAGCCCCCACAAACCCCACCCCTCACCCTCACCCCCACACACCCCACCCAGCCCCCACCTCACACACCCCACACCCCACACACCCCCACTCATCCCCCCACACACCCCACCCAGCCCCCACCCCCTCACCCTCACCCCCACCCAGCCCCCATCTCACACCCCCCACACCCCCACTCATCCCCCCACACACACCCACTCATCCCCCCACACACCCCACCCAGCCCCCCCCCCCTCACCCTCACCCCCACTCACCCCCCCCCCCCAGCCCCCACTCACCGCCGTCACCGTATGCACGCCGGGCGCCGCCGAGTGAAATCCCGCCCCCAGGGTTTTCAAGACGACCTGCGCCCCTTCAAGGCCCTCTCTGTAGGGGAGAGAGAGGAGGAGGGAATAATTAGGATAATTAGGATAAAGATGGTGATAAGGATAATTAGGATAAAGATGGGGATAAGGATAATCAGGATAAAGATGGTGATAAGGATAATCAGGATAATGATGGTGACAAGGAAAATTAGGATAAAGATGGTGATAAGGATAATCAGGATAAAGATGGGGATAAGGATAATCAGGATAATGATGGTGACAAGGAAAATTAGGATAAAGATGGGGATAAGGATAATCAGGATAAAGATGGGGATAAGGATAATCAGGATAAAGATGGTGATAAGGATAATCAGGATAAAGATGGTGACAAGGATAATCAGGATAAAGATGGTGATAAGGATAATCAGGATAAAGATGGTGATAAGGATAATTAGGATAAAGATGGTGACAAGGATAATCAGGATAAAGATGGTGATAAGGATAATTAGGATAAAGATGGTGATAAGGATAATCAGGATAAAGATGGTGATAAGGATAATCAGGATAAAGATGTTGATAAGGATAATTAGGATAAAGATGGTGATAAGGATAATCAGGATAAAGATGGGTGATAAGGATAATCAGGATATCATGGTGATAGGAGGGATTAAAATGGACAATTATCATGATGGTGAAAATGGGGATAATAATAGTAATAATGATAATAATGGTGATGATGATTGCTGATGGTAATACTACTACTAATAACAATGATGATAATAACAACAACAACAACAACAACAACAACAACAACAACAATAACAACAACAACAGCAATAATAATAATAATAATAACAATAATAATAATAATAGTATTAACAATAATAATAATAATGGCAATGATAATGATACTACTTCTACTATTGATGATAATGATAATAATAATACAAATAATGATAATAATAATAAAATAATAAGGACAATAATAACGATGATAATAATGATAATAATAGTAATGCTAACAATAATAATAATACCAACAACAACAACAATAATAGAATAATCAAAATAATATTATAAGTATTATCATTATTATCATTATCTCTCTCTCTCTTTTTCTCTCTCATTCTCGTCTGTCTGATTATATGTCTATCTATCTGTCGTCTGTCTCTCTCTATCCTAATGTCTGACTCTCTCTCTCTCTCTCTCTCTCTCTCTCTCTCTCTCTCTCTCTCTCTCTCTCTCTCTCTCTCTCTCTTTCTCTCTCTCTCTCTCTCTCTCTCTCTTTCTCTTTCTCTCTCTCTCTCTCTCTCTCCCTCTCTCTCTCCTCTTTGTCTGTCTGCCCATCTATCTATTTGCCAGTCTCTCTCTCTCCTGTCTGTCTCGCTGTCTGCCCGTATATTTGTTTGTCTATTTATTTGTCTGTCTGTTTGTCTGTCTGTCTGTCTGTCTGTCTGTCTGTCAGTCAGTCAGCCAGTCAGTCTCCCCATCCCTTCCTCCTCCCCTCCCTCCCTCTCCTTCCCTTCCTCCCTCTCCCTCCCTCCCCTCACCTGTGCAACACTGAAGTCAGGATGTGTAAATGTTGCACAGCGAGCCAATGGACGCCACCGACCACAACGACCGTGTTGCTGTTGTTCTGCAATGGACTCGCTCTGTTGGTGAGAAGGAGAAAAAAATATGGAAAGGAAATTTGGATAAAATGGTATAATTAGAAGGAAAATGAGAAAGAGAGATGAGAAATTTAAAGGGATAAGGACAATTGGGAGTGATGCATTAGAATTTTATTTTCTTGCTTTTTGCAATAGGGTAAGAGATGTTTGGATTTTTTTTCGGGGGGGGGGGGATACGAGGAAGAGAATTTTCATTTTCGTTTGGTAATTGT